GCTGTTGGATATGAAGGGACGGGGAAAGCCACACTTGATGGTAAAACTGCATCGTGCCATATTCCTCCTGAGAAACTCAACGTCAGTCGTCAGTGAGCAGAGAAACAAGCTGACACTCACCACCAAGAGAGCAAAAAGAATGACCCCACAGCTCCAGACGTCTGCTTTCCTCCCGTCATACTTCTCTCCCTGAGGGCGATTAGACAGTTTGTTAGGCCGGTTTGGACACAATGTAAGCAGCTGGTTCGGAGCATTATTTAAAAAAATAAACTAGCAGAAAGAACATCGTGAGTCAGTGAAAAACGTCTTACCCTGATGACCTCCGGACATGCGTAGTGCGGGGATCTGTTGGCGGAAACAGAAAGCGAATTAGGGAAGGAGCAGAAGGTAAAATCTCGGTTATTCAAAGGCTTTAACATTCGCACGAGGTTATACAGTCGTGACGCAGCAAACATTAAACGGGCATAAAGCGCTCTCTGAAAATCTCAGAAGAACAATTTAAGCAGACAGTAAACGTCTCCGGCGAACATAGATCAAGATGTGCTTCAGGAGTTTAGACATGCTCAGGTGTTTGGATGTCCTCCTGCTTGCTCAGTCAAGGGCATCCTCTCACAGCAGACGGCGAACAGACCCACTAATCTTTACAGCCCCTGGATGGACTGACAGTAAAGCCAATGACTAGATTGACACATCAATATCATATGAAGATTTATGGAGCTCCCTGGCAGAGACTGCTCCATAAGCCAGTGGCTATGGATGAGTGCGGCAGAGGAGTGACTTGTTATTCTATACATAAATTGCCCCCCCCTGTGCTTTGACATTCCCCCACTTCCTAATTCATTACCTTGAAATAAAAGAGGGCGATAATAAAAGCTTAACATCCATCTACAATCAACTAGATTAAACAAGCAAAAATCGCCTCTCTCATCCCGGTGAGGTTTTTGTTTTTCAGGCTCTAATGAGGGACAGTCCGGTTGGTAAACACGGGATCCATTAGCTCTGTCGTCGTCTTGTGTGCTCACGTCTGACAGCTCGGCTTCCTGGAACCGTCAAAACGCCGGCCAGTAACAGACCCTGCCACCGTGTCAACAGGGGGAAGTTCAAATGCTAGTCTATGCAAATACGTCCGTCCTGATTGCAAGTGTCATAGTGCATTATGCAAACGAGCAAGGAATTAAAATTAAATTTAAAAAAAAAGAAAACACAAGCCTGAGATTTGCACTAATTACGCCTCATGAGCACCACGACACACAAGCCACAGCTGGAACCATCATGAATATAAACTCAATATTTGCAGAAGCTTTAGGCTGGTCAGCGTAGAGAACGGAACGCAAGCAGCTCGGCTTTCTGTTTGGACTGAATTTCAATTTGTTGTTATTAGAAGACTAAATTTAATCACTGAGCCATAACACCTACAATATATGCTCAGTAGCTCTGCTCTCTGGTCCACATAGATACATGCGTCTATTTCTTCTAGTGAAGCAGTGAT